TACAAATCTTCCTTCTAGATCTTTGATAGGAAGAGTAATCTAATTCTAGCTTATCTCTTGTGAACTAACTCCATTTAGAACAAGATTCCAAATCTTGCGTTTTGATTAAATTGTGGAGTGACCCTATCTAGAACAAGGTTCCAAATCTTGCGTTTTGATCAAATTGTGGAGTGACTCCATTTAGAACAAGGTTACAAATCTTCCTTCTAGATCTTTGATAGGAAGAGTAATCTAATTCTAGCTTATCTCTTGTGAACTAACTCCATTTAGAACAAGATTCCAAATCTTGCGTTTTGATTAAATTGTGGAGTGACCCTATCTAGAACAAGGTTCCAAATCTTGCGTTTTGATCAAATTGTGGAGTGACTCCATTTAGAACAAGGTTACAAATCTTCCTTCTAGATCTTTGATAGGAAGAGTAATCTAATTCTAGCTTATCTCTTGTGAACTAACTCCATTTAGAACAAGATTCCAAATCTTGCGTTTTGATTAAATTGTGGAGTGACCCTATCTAGAACAAGGTTCCAAATCTTGCGTTTTGATCAAATTGTGGAGTGACTCCATTTAGAACAAGGTTACAAATCTTCCTTCTAGATCTTTGATAGGAAGAGTAATCTAATTCTAGCTTATCTCTTGTGAACTAACTCCATTTAGAACAAGATTCCAAATCTTGCGTTTTGATTAAATTGTGGAGTGACCCTATCTAGAACAAGGTTCCAAATCTTGCGTTTTGATCAAATTGTGGAGTGACTCCATTTAGAACAAGGTTACAAATCTTCCTTCTAGATCTTTGATAGGAAGAGTAATCTAATTCTAGCTTATCTCTTGTGAACTAACTCCATTTAGAACAAGATTCCAAATCTTGCGTTTTGATTAAATTGTGGAGTGACCCTATCTAGAACAAGGTTCCAAATCTTGCGTTTTGATCAAATTGTGGAGTGACTCCATTTAGAACAAGGTTACAAATCTTCCTTCTAGATCTTTGATAGGAAGAGTAATCTAATTCTAGCTTATCTCTTGTGAACTAACTCCATTTAGAACAAGATTCCAAATCTTGCGTTTTGATTAAATTGTGGAGTGACCCTATCTAGAACAAGGTTCCAAATCTTGCGTTTTGATCAAATTGTGGAGTGACTCCATTTAGAACAAGGTTACAAATCTTCCTTCTAGATCTTTGATAGGAAGAGTAATAATTTTTTTTATTCAAGGGTTCTTGTTTCAACAAAAACTTGGATCGTTGGGCGGAGGATTAAGGTTACCTTGTCAATTTGGTATCAGAGTCTAAATGGATTAGAATTGCCTCGTCAATTTGGTATCAAGAGTCTAGGTTAGGTCTCTATGACCTATTCTAGAATTGATTTTATACCTTGTTTTTCTTTTCTTCAAATCTTCCATTTATTTTCTTGCTCCCATTTCCGCCCTTCTTCATTATCCTTTTACTTTGCTCTCATTTCTTCTTAATCATATTTACCTTTGAAAAAAAATTCCTATCATATTTGTTCATTATAAATTATGTTTCTCATTTATTTAGCATGTTTATTTGAAAATTAAATAAATTTCAATTCACAGTTTTTTTTATTAAACCATATAAATCTGTAATCCTTTATGTGTGATATTTTTGTTTTTAGTTGAAACTCCAAAATAACTTCTGAATTTGCTTAAATTTTGTAAAAAGAAAAGTTAGATCATTCTCTTAGTTAAAATCTTAACGGCCTTTCTTATTTTAACTCATTTTCAGTGTGCAATTCTAATAAAAAAAAATATATATATATGTGTCCCTTGTTTGTTTGATATTTCTTATCTTAATGGTCTTGAATAGCTTGCTACTATTATAATTGTTTTACCCATATTTTAGCTTACCTTGATCATAATTTAGTCACTTTCTCAAATAGCTTAGCTTTGTGTGTAATAAACACGAGTGCCCCTGAACGTAAAATCAATGAGTTGAGTGTGTGAGGCCCTAAGCATATATTTAACTACTATTTGTATAATCATGAACCAAGTTGGAGAAATGGAGGGGAGATCAATGAAGCTAGGTGGAAAGAAGCACGAACTGGAGCTATTTCTCATTTGAATCATGTTATTAGTGTCTTGACAAACCGGATAGAGTGAATTGAAATAGCCTTAGGTAATTCTCAAGGAAATGAAGTAATCTTGAATGAAGGAGTTGAAAATGAAGAGGATGAGAATGTCACCCTTTTTGCTGGAAATAATCCTAGGGTAGGGAGAGATGTCGAGGGAGAGGAAGAGGCTGAAAAAGAGTAGAAAAATTTTAGCACAAAAAAAAAAATTTGAGAGAAAGTACCAATATGAAAGAGGAGAAGAAAGAGGAGTTGGGAGAGTAAAGCTGAAAATTTCAACTTTCTATGGGAGATTTGATTTAGAGGAGTATATGCAATATGAGAGGTATTGAACATAAAATAGACTTCATTCTGAGGGTTGTCGTTCCTAAAAGCCAGCTTATAGAGTCAATCCAACTGAGACTAAAGAAATTCAAAGGCAAGTGGAGGAGCTCATGGAGAAGAGCTATTTACGAGAAAGTTTGAGTCCATGTTCTGTATCAGTCTTATTGGAGCCAAAGAAAGATGAAACTTAGTGCATGTGCGTCGAGAGTCATCAACAAAATCACTGTAAAGTATCGACATCCTATTTCTAGGCTAGGCGATATGCTTGATGAATTGCATGGTTCATGTCTATTTATAAAAATTGTTTTGAAATCGGGATATCATCAAATTAGAATGTCTCGAGATGAATGGAAAACAACTCTCACAATTAAGTTTAGAGTGTATAAATGACTTGTTATGACTTTTGGGTTAACTACTAGTACATTTATGTGCTTAATGAATAATGTTGATAGAATATTTGGAAAAACATGTGGTGTATTTTTAATGATATTTTAATTTATTTGAAGATTTTGGTTGAGCATGTGTAACATGTTAAGTCAATTTTGATTACAAACGTAAATTTCATGCTAATTATAGCAAGTATAGTTTTTTCATCTAAAAAATTAATTTTCATAGTTGTTAAAAATGGAGTAGAAGTAGATAAGGAGAAAGTTAAACTCATCAGGTATTTGTCAACACCGGTGAAATTTTGAGTTTTCATGGATTAGTTAGCTTCTATCAAAATGGAGTAGGAGTAGAGAAAGTTAAAGTCATTACGGATTTCCCACCACCAAAAAATATAAGTGAAATTTTGAGTTTTCATCGATTGGCTTGCTTCTATAGGAGATTTATAAGAGATTTTAGCATGTTTTCATGGATTAGCTTGCTTCTATAAGAGATTTATAAAAGATTTTAGCATCGTAGCAGCAACATTGTATGATCTAGTGAAAAAATAATGTTGTTTTTTTTAAGAAGTAAGCAATGCACCATTAATTATTTTGCCTAACTTTGATAAAACTTTTGAAATTGAATGTGATGCAAGTGGTTTTCACCTAAGTGTAGTTTTATTTTAAGATTGGAAAGCTCATAACTTATTTTAGTGAAAAACTAAATGAGAGCACTGAACTATCCTATATGTGATCTGAACTATCTTACCCATGATAAAGAATTGTTTGCTTTAATTGATATTGCAAGTGACAACACTACTTATAGCCCCGATAATTTGTGATCCACTTTGATCATGAAAACTTATCGTAAGGTCAAAGCAAATTGAATTGTAGGCATGCAAAGTGGTAGGAGTTTATTGAAACATTTTGGTAAGAAAAGTAAGGATAATGTAGTAGTGGATGCATTATGTAGAAGGTACAATTTCTTTACTCCTCTTAGTACAAAAATTCTTGGATTTAAGCCTATTAAAGAATTATATAGAAATGACCTTGAATCTATTTATGCATTTGTCTTGAGAAAGAAGAAGAAAAAAAGAAAAAAAGAAAAAGTTGGGGATGATATGATGTGTTTTATGAATTTTTAAGATTTATATTTCTAAATGCTTGGTAAGAGATTGGTTGGTGAAAGAAGCACAGGGTAGTTTAATGGGACATTTTGAGATTAATAAAACTTATAAGATGTGAAACGAACCTTGGTTGAAGATGAAGCACAATGCTCATCAGTTTTGTAGCCAATATTTTAAATGCAAAGAAATTAAATCTATATTACATCTAAATGGATTGTAACTCCTTTGAATGTACCGAACAAACCTTGAACTAATATATGTATGAATTTTGTTCTTGGTTTGTCGTACACTAAAAAGGGTAAAAATAATATTTTTGTTGTGGTAGTCAAATCTAGTAAAATGACTCAGTAACAAGACCAAGGATGCAAAACATATGGCTGACTTTTTCTTTTGTTTAGGAGAGTAGTAAGATTACATAGAATGAGTAAAATTTTCAAGTCATTTCTCAAAAGTATTTTGAGGTGAATTGAGTACTAAATTGTTGTTTTCAACCCCAGGTTATTATAAAAATGTTAAGTTGTTTATGGATTTGCTTTTTATTCCTATTCAATAGTTTTGGAATATCTTTGGTCAGGAAACCTTTTCCTAGTAGAAACGTTTTAAAATTGCAAGGAAAGATGGGAAAGAAAAAGTCAAAAGAAGACAATATCCACCCGTAGTAACAGTGAAATATTTGGTTATAAAAAAAAAAAAAAGAGGCGGGTTGTTAAACTGGCATGAAAGCAATGAACTTATATGAGCAGAAAAAGAAAATAAGTTGGAAAAAAGAAACAACAATAATAAAATGAGGTCACAGAAGAACCCATAAGAAAGAACCCATAAGAAAGGAAAAGGAGGTAATAAAGGGTATTCCCTTTTCCTCTATCAAACCTAAAAGACAAAATCTGTGGACGAACAAGAAATCATTATCGTTTTGCTATTGGCTCCACAATTAAATGATATTAAAAACAGAGAAACAGGTTGGAAAGAAAATCTGGAAACAATCATTTTTATAACCAAATATTTCACTGTTACATACAAATAATAATATATTACAACAACCCAAAAAAAAAACAAAGAAAAATGTCAACTGTCACCAAATGAAATTAAAATGCTGTGTTTTCTTTTATTAGTTTCTATAAATATCTATAGCGGCCTGCCCCAGCTTAGTACCCTGTAGGGAACTCGCAGTTCCCGTACTCTGCAACCAAAGAACGACGCCGTTTGTCAGATTAAATATATAATACCCTATATTTATTGAACTTGCAATTTGGTACTTACGGGGAGGTTGAGCAACGACGTAGGCAACACCACCAAAGTAGCACGTGCCACTCGCACGACCCATCTTCTGGTAATAGCTATTGAACGCGTACGAAGCGTGTGCCTCAAGTGAGTTAGGATTGTAACACGTGGAACCTGGCTGAATCGCACCACAATCAGCGCCTCCCTCTCCACAGGCATAATCCAAACCCTCCCGCAGCTTCTCCGCCGCCGCGTTCCCATTAGCCACACACCAGGTATCCCCTTTGGACGGCGGCACCTGAGCCTTACTCCCGTTCACCGGCGTCGGAGTCTCACTCGCCATGTCCGCGAGTGTGAAAGGAATCTGATAAACCTCCTCCTCGTTGGGGTAAAACAAACCGTAATTTCTCTCAGAGGTGGGCCCCGGTTTCTGATTCTCATTGAACAACGCGAACAGAAAGACGTCCAATGGGTCTTCTGGTCTCAAGGGGGTCCCTTTCCCTGTCAGAACTCTCCTAACCAAATTGCCGTTATACGACGCCGCATTCTCCTTACTCGCTCCCACTTCCTTCTCCTCCCCTATCGACGGCCACCCAGTCTCCGTAACCACCACTTTCACGTCGTCGTATTTAAGCGCCATCATGGCGGCGTAAACAGCGTCCACTTGAGCCTCGAAAAGACTGAAATATTTCAACCCATTGCCGGGGTCCACAACGCCGGAGTTCTCCCGGAAGAGAGCGTAGTCCAGAGAAATCTGGTCGGAGTTAGCGGCGTATGCGAAGAAGGGGTAGGCGTTAACCATAAGGTAAGATTCGGTCTGGTGGAGAAAGTCGAGCATGGGCTTGATGACTGGCTCGATAAGGTCCGGTTTGAAGGAACCGGAGGAGGTCGGGTAGGAGGAAGCGAGGGCGGTGAGGGCAATGGGTGAGGAGACTTTGATGGAGTCGTGGAGGTTATACTTTTGTAGCGAGGAGTAGACGTTTCTCATGGCGGGGATGAGGAAATTGGTGGTGTTGTTGGGGTCGACAAAGACCTCGTTGCCGACGGCGACGGCGTTGATTTTGGTGGCGGGGTAATAATTAGAGATTTTGGATTGGACCCAATTGTCGGTGAAGGAAGAATCCGCTGCGGCGGAGGAGAGGAGGTCGTTGGAAAGGGCAACAACGATGGAGATGTTGGAGTTGGAAAGGGCAGTAAGGACGGCGGCATCGGTGTCATAGACTTTGATACGGTCGATCCCTTGCTGTTTGAGGAGACCAACAACTTTGTCGGGCGGGGGAAGGTTGTCGGCGATTCGGCCGTAGTTAACCCCAATCAATCCGGGTTCGCCGAGAGCGGTGGCGGAAAAGAGAAGAAAGAGGAAAGGGGAAAAGGCGATGGCCATGAGTAACAAAGGTTTGAAATGGGTTTCCCCCAAAACTGTGATTTTATAGAGAAGAAGAGAAATTGTGTTTACACCGATCCTCACCGCCTTACTGATTGGTCTGAATTTCTTGGAGCTGTTTACTTGTCTCCATTCCTGGCATTACACTGCCTCTCAGTTTTTGATTGATGAGCTACTTGCAACAACACTCAATTCTCATCCGTTCCCTTTTGCCCCAATTTTTTTAAATTATTATTATTATTATTAAAATCTTTATCTCACCTACACATTTTCTCTCTCTATATAATATTAATTGCATTCACGTAATTTCCCTAATACTTTCCTCTACTAATTCTAATTAAGTCTTCCACTTTCAAATACTATATTTCTTTTTCTTCTTTGTTTTCTGTTAACATGGAAACATCAATAAAATCTCAACGCCAACAAGCCAATATTTAATTCAGATTCATTTTTGTAGTTTGTAATATATTTTTATTTACTCTACTTTTTACGATATGGTAGAATATTAATATTGAACTCGTGGATGTCCAAATGTTTATGTCTCACATGTCAACGAATGCCCTTCTTATTTAACTTTTTAAGATTCCTCTACCTTCGCGCATATATTCATCATATCAACAAATACTATGCACAAAATTTTACAATAATGATTTAAACCTTTATAGGTTCAATTATATCAAATATATCTAAACTAGGATGAAAATAGAAAAACAATAAAGTTCATACATAAATTATGTCATACACTAACATAGGCTCTAAGTAACGATACGCGTTCCAGAAAGAGAAAAAAAAACAAAAAAAAAAAATTTTCGGCGAGGGTTGCTAAGAAAACGCACTATTTCCCCCAAGTTCCCACATTAAACCCTAGGGTATCTAAGTAGTTGTCCTTCTGTTGAGTCGTTGCTGTACCGTGAGAGAGAAGCAGTAAGATTGAGGTGGAGGATCGATAACGCCGCGAGACTTCGGTCATTTGCGAGCCTTAGGTGGGAGCGAACCAACGCCGGGGTACGTCGGGACAAGGAGGACAGATGCATCGTTAGGGACGAATGGATGACGACGATCTCACCGGCGACGGCAGTCAGGTTCCGCGATTAGGATTTGCCGGGACTCTCGGGCGAGGAAGACAGAGCAGCGGGTGTGGGTCGGTTCTTCGGGTATCTTGCGAGTTCGCCTCAGCCAGCGTACGACCCGTAATTTTATTTTTTAAATTATAAGTATAGTTGGTGCTCAATTGGTGCTCATCTGATCACGTGAGTATAGTTGGCGACCCTCAAGTGTTTATGTATCACTAATTACAAGTATCATGATACAGCTGAGGAGGATCGATAAAACTATAGATTGAAACCAAGCTGAGGCACAAGCAAGATTGAAGGCAACAAATAGACAAGAGTGATATGAACCAAGACATCTCAATCATACAATATGAACTTGAAAAAAGTTGTGAAAAATGTTGTTCAAATTACCGCAAGATAATGTCAACTTCTATTAAAGTTGAACTCTAAGTTATAATTAATTTCACATTAAGAAGAATCAAGTCTCATATATGTAACAATGGTTCAAGATACTTCAAATGTGACTCCATTTATTCTTAGATGGTTACAAATTTACGATAGATGACTAAAATCTAGATTTATGGTGTTTTATTAATGTATTTTAAGTTCTTTTTATTTATTTTTAGATTACATTTACATAATAACTAATTATGGTCCTAAAGTATGAAGTACCAAGATTAAAAACTCTTCAAATGACTTATGGAAGGTTAAGGGTTTCATTTGGAGGATGCATGTAAATTATATTTGTAAAAGAGAATTAAAAATGTAGTAAAAAGAGCCTTTGTATTTTTATTTAGCCAATGGCTAAGTTTTTTTTTGTAATTCTATGTAGATTAGGCTACATGTTTAAAATCATTTAAGCGTGACATGATAAATGTTGCTTGTGGAGTGATTCGAATCTCAAACTTGTAATCTGAATTTTACTTTCCCTTGGAGTGATTTCTTATCATTAGAGAGCTAAGTATTCTTACCTTTCTTTTAGCTAAGGGCTAAGTTTCTTTTCAATTATATGTAGTTTAGGTCGCATTTTAGAATCATTCAAGCTTGACATGATTGATCTTGCTTGTGGAGTGATTCGAATCTCAAACAAGTGTTCTTGCGTTAGATGTTCAATCAACAAGATAATCCGCTTCCTTATTAAAGAATGCCAAAAATAGGCTTGATAAGACAGAGTACGACCCCAAAACTTAACCTTAAAAGTCGAGGGTCTGGTATGAGTTTTAGCATATGGTTCTGGAGTTAAGTTCATTTATGTGAAATATGAATGTTCGCCAAAAAATGACTACTCACAAAAATCATGTTTACTCTTGTTAGACCAATTTTTTTTTCAAAATGTACTATAAAGGAGAGACATGGTGTCACCTTTCAACCATTCGTAGGCCTTATGGCCTAAGTGAGCTATTATGTGACACATACGTGTATCACAGCATGGCAAGCTATGCAAGACGAGTGTCTTGGGCATCTTCCTTTGAAAATGAGTTTTATGAGAATAGTATCAAATAGTATTGGAGCGTTGACATTGCACCCTGACATTGCACCCCAACACTTGTGTCGGAGGTTGATATATAGACTTACTACCCAATACTGTTTCTATAAATGGCTCGACATGGACACAAAAGTTCATGTCTCGATAGAAATCAGATGGATAGATATTCAAGATGTCTCGATGATATAGTTGATTCATGAAGTCAATGTCAATAAGTGTTTTTGAGTGAGTAGCAAGGCTGGTGACATCACTTGGGATGACATCATGATGTATGAGCTGTGTTGTTGGGAACCTAGATGACAACATGATGACGAGATTAGATGCAGCATTACACATGAGAGACATTGGTCTAGATTTGAGGCAAAGTCGAGCCAAAGGGCTTGACCTAGGGACGAGATAAGTTGACTAGAGTCATAGACAATTGAACATGCACGCACCAGTGACATGTGTGGCTGAACAAATTTAGATTCCGCATGACTTATGCTTGATTGGCAAAGAAAAACTTCGCTTAAGGTCCAACGAAACCACAAAGTCGAGTAAAAAAAATGTACGTGAGGTTTGAGATTTCCTCAAGACTTGTCATAAGCATGTCAAGATGAAGACACCACATGATTGAAAATGTACAATCATGATACATGACATGTGCCTCATATGAGATCGAATAGGAACTTGGAATTTCTTGACAGGTTTCCTTTTCTCTCATGTTTGGTGGTCCAAATTTCTTCTCGCTTCAACTAGTTTTACCCCATGTAAGACTTTTTAGTTTTACTCGACATTTTTTTTTCTTAGTGTTTGTGTTTGTTGTCATGGTCTAATTTCATTAGAAATAGAATTTTAATTATGAAAACTACGCCATATTCTTCAAGTACTTTTTTATGGAAATAGATTGAAAATTAGAGGTAAGTTTGAATGATATTAGGGGAGAAAGACGAGTAGAAACATCCCACGAAGAATGGATTTAAAGAAAGACAATAAACATATAGCATGGGTGTGGTATTCAAAGTAAAGAACCCTTTAGGCCAATTATGAATGATGTGGTTTAGTTTCATAAAACATGTTGCCTCACCAATTACTTCAATTCTCTAAAAATATTAGGCTGAGTGTTAGTATTTGGAGTATTGTGGCCTAACATGATGGAAGAATACAAAAACTAATGGAAGAGGCCTAATAACTTAGTACCCTATGGGGTGAGTTAATTTAACTTGATGACTTTTTTAGCTAAAAATGATACTCCATTGACGTGTTTAGCTAAAAAAAAAAAAAAGAGGAAATATAACTAAAAAAATTACCATAAACTTTTCTTTTTTTTTTTGGAGTGAGTCTAATGCTAGGCTAGGTGATTCTTTTCTATCAATTACCGAAGCTTAATCTAGAAGCAATAATGACAGTCATCTTATCGCTGACAATTGAGTGTGGCATTTCATGCAATGAAGATATTATCGAAAAAGATCTAAGCAAGTCTTGCCCATTTAAAGAATATGGATGATCTCGTTGCAAGAAATTTGCATCTTTCTTTTTGTTTGAGTCGGTCCACCACAATCAAGACCCATACTTTCCTTTATTATGCGCGGATTATGCATATAAATTTTTTATATGGTTATATTTTGTCCAATACGTCCGAAAAACTAAAGCAACTTCAATCATCCTGCACAAAACTTGTTACATAAGAGAAAAAGAAATAATAATAATAATAATGCACATAATAAAAGTTGGTGGACCTGTGTTTGTCAAATCTATATAAAAATAGTAATAAATAAAGTCCATTTTTCAAAAGCGTGTTTGTTGCATTGAAGACGTTTCTTTAATTATGCCAATTGACAATAAACCATATTTCATATTCTCAACCATTTATTAGGGAGGTTTGTTGGTTAGCTTCATTCAACTATTTTATTTCTCCCTTCCAAAATCCACCAAAATCAATTTCATTGCAATTTTTAAACTTTAAATTAATAATTTAATTCTTCAACTCTCTAAATTTAAAAACAGATGTTTACCAACTTTTTTTTTTATTTTTAATTTTGAAGTTAATTAATATAATTTCATATCAAATAGTTTTATCATTTTAAAAATGACGAACAAGTCATAGACTAATTAAACACATGATTTAAAGTTTAGAAACTTATAAAATATTTTCAAGTTTCTCTCTAAAAAAAATTCGAGGAGAAGATTGCATTTAAGAGGTAAGAAAAACTAGTTGTTTATTAAAGCTACAAGACTCTAAGAAATGGGTGATGAATTTGAACTTAAATTTCCAATTTGGTACCTACATCCATAATTGCAAACAAATAATGTGAAGCATTACTAGCAAACTTTAATAAATAAATAACTTAAGGATTACTATTCTTATTTACTATTTCTTAATTTTCCAAAGCCTTTTCCAAATTGTGCCAACTTTTATTTATTTATATATTTATTAAACCCAATATCAAAATTCATGAATCTAACTAAACTCATGAAATGTAAAGTCCATAAGTAGAAATTGAAATCGTCTTGAACTAACATGTTTGTCTAAGCTAATACATGACATTAGTTAATGGGGAAAGAAACTATTTTAAAGCAATACTATTCCATGTCCACCACATTAGAACTCGTCATCTAACCAAGGGTCTCTTTCTTTTACTGTCTCTTTCCTTTACTTGAAAAAAGTTTAAAAAGTAGGAAAAATAATAAGTGTTTAAAAATCCCCCTAC